TAGAGGAGGCGCTGACGCGGTTCACAAGCAGAGCCGTCAAGGTCGTCCACGTTTGGAACTAGAAGGAGAAGGCTTACTCGGACGCGCGTCTTGCAAGAATAATGTCAATTGTGGTCATCTGATTTTAAGTCATTGTTGGCATGTACACACCCACACCAAACAGCCAGTGAGAATGCCGCAGGGACGCGACAACTGGGCTGACCGAGACATGGTCATGGCAAGCAGACGAGCTTATCCTCCCCCGCTATACGTCATTACCGAATGGTGTTATAATATGGCGGGGCGCTGCGCTGTCGCATGCACACCTGGTCAACGCACAGGGCCTGACGGTGTACTCTCCGCGCTTAAAGAAGCTTCTAAAAAGCAACGTTAATGAGAGAGCTGACGGGGCTCGAGCGTGAGAATGGGTACCGACGGAGGTCAGCCGACGGAGGCCAGAGGGGCTGACATTGGAGAGAGTGTGACACGCTGAGAACCTATCCCCTCCCGTGTTGTTTTTTGTACGTGGTTTTTACCAATGCAGTGCCGGTTATGAAAGTGTTTTTGTGATTGGTTGTGGTGATGCGAGCCCACACGTGTGATTAACTTGTGTTGAGACTCTTTGTTCAACCGACGTTTGAATAGAGGGTGTTTGAATGTGAAATGGAAGAGCCGAAGTTCGGGCTTGGACTCGGGCCGACGCCTGAGGCTGCAAGAAGGCGTCTTTTCACCGGACTACGGCACTTCCTTCACGCTAGCACCAAGCACTCGAGTCATCGAGGTGCACCCATTCCGTTAGCTAGTGTAGAAGCTAGTTGATGAAAAGGAAATTAACTGGCTCGAACCCATTCACAAGGTTGGAAATTTCACATTGATTATCATGCGCGAATTTCTACGGTCTTGCACTGCGTAATGCGCGCAAGCAATCGTGAGTGATATTGCCCAGCATAATGTAATAATTATGAAGCTCTACCCTCATGCTGAGAACAAAAGAAAAAAAACGAGGAAAGCTTCCACTACGTGGGAATACGATCAACTAAGCGCAGGAGGCTCGCCCCAAAGGCCGAGTAATGTTTCCAATTCCATGGACCTGTTCAAAGGTACGTGAGCATTTTTCTGGGTAAGTAATAAATCAAGGATACTTACTGTTTGCTGGCTCCATGTTGCTCTGCGTTGCGCCTCTTTCGTGAGTGCATATTGAAACAGCTCAATATGCGCGGTGTTCGCGCGACGAGGTGTACGTACTACGCCCACGCGTTGCAGAAAACGAGGTGAGCCAACGCTTCCGCCAGCAGATGACACTCAGCCAGTGCTCCTTCTTCCCATGGTGCTTCGCAGCCACCGTAGATGTCACACGCCAATTTTCGAAAGGTACATTCTTGCTCCAAGGAGCAATCCATAATCTGCGGATGCTCTCAATATGCCTTTGGAACGCACATTTCATGCTCCCTTATGCAGTTAGAATGTGACTGCTTCACTCAGAACAGAAAGAGTTCATCTGAATATGTCATTCGCATTCATGATTAGACTGTTCTGTTAAAGAACCCCTAAACAACCTCTGGTTATACGAAGAGCGGGCTCTTTCTTCTCACCCGGCGTTTCTTCGCGCCATGGCCACAGTTCGTGACGCCAGCAAATGTTCAAGTGACGTCACGATGATATTGGCTCTGGATTGGGCGACATTCAAGAGGTATCTGTTGTAGTCTGCTTTCCCTCGCAGTTACATTCCCGTTATGCCTTGTCTCCAATAGATTTAGTGCACAATAAACTCACCTCAGTTCATTTTCTGTGTTTCAAACTGTGCAAGCAAAGATAAGCCCATGTCGTGCAAAAGCCTGAAATCTGGACTGGCTCAACACTTAGTGCAGACATTCCGCGTGCTTTATGAATAAATGGGTGGTGAGGAGAAAATAAAGCATGTGGGAAGTGTAACCAAGGCGGGAAAGAAACTACTTTTTGCCTTAGAACGCGGTGTGGTTTATAGGCTTTTTAAGATCGCACACAAATTCTGTTGTGGTAGACGCATTTCAGTGGAAGCGCTATGCTAGCGGCGAACGTACTTCGATTCAGGTGCATGTTATTGAACACCAGATGGTAAAAATTTCCGGAGCCTTCACTGCATCCCTCATAATCAAATCTCCAGTTTGGGGCTTGAAAGCCTTACATTTATTAATTGTACTCGCCGTAGGTGTGTACACTTATTCATTCGGTCACTTACGTGAGTACAAGCGATAACGCTGGAAGGTGCGATCGCTTATGTACCAAACACTACGCGATCTGTCGATGATCAGATTACTAAAGGCCGATCGCATTTATTGCCGCTATGAGAGCACAACGCTGTTTATTCGTTTTTTAGGTTACTTAGTTTTCTGGGCACATGTTATCACACTAAAAAGTTTCGTCGGTACTTGAGTGACCGCTGCTTCCTTCAGAGTGACCACTACGTGACATCATATCGGCCTGAGGCGTTTCTCAGGTGCACATGTTCTCTCACTGATGAAAAAAAAAGATTGCTAATTAGTCAGCATATAGATAACGAAAGAGTTACGCCTGAGGATATGAAGCATGTGAAAACGTAATTGCAGTTTTATGCGCTCTTCTTAAAAACGATGCGTCACAAAAAGTGTCACTACCAGCGCGGTTCTTGCTCTACACCAGTGGATTGGTATTGCAAAACGGCATTTTATGACCAAGGTAAAACTGCAAACTGTTATTTGCGCTGTAGTACGAAGGCTTGTCACTGAAGCTCGTATGGCTTGTCGGCAAGCTGAGCATCGACTGCGATCAATTACAAAAATACCAAGGCAGAATAGCAGTCATCGACGTGTCTGAACAGTTGTTCTACTGAGCGGCTAAAACAAAGGTCTTTCGGGAGCAAAAGAAGTACTCTTACCAACAAGGACGAAAATTTTTAGATACTGACTGACATTCTTTTAATATAAAATGAAATTGTTATCAACTAAAACAGATTCACGCACACGTCGTTTTGAATAGGCGTTCGCTCAGGGGTCTACAACAAATCTGCGATTGCATCGAGGTATCGGAAGGTACAATGGGAAAGTATCTGATCGAATGAAATTGTTGCAGTTGCATTTTGTATCTTATGCCAAATGCTTGTATCGCATTTTGTATCTGTATATCCAATCTTGTATCATATGGCGATTTAACGCGAAGTATCTTTGCCCTGCACTGGGGTGCACGAAGCGAAACATGTCCTAAGGTCGGTGCGCGCCCTATGTGGGTACGTTATTGCATGTGCGATTGAGGAGGAGTTGCACTTGGTGAACATGCATCCCTTCCTCTTCGCAGCCAGGCACAGTATGGTGAGGTCGTGTGTGTGGGCGTTAGTGCTCAACTATTGCTGAGAGCCTAGGTGGCCCGCACTAATGCTCGGGGCCCTGCCGTAATAGTCTAGTGGCTAAGATACTCAACTGCTGACCCGCAGGTCACGTGATGGAATCCCGGCTGCGGCGGCTGCATTTTTCATGGAGCCGTACCTATTAACATACCTGGCTTTGTGGCTTGTAACAATGGTAAAGTCAGCTGCACTGGGATTTTTAAATGCTGTCGTAAATGGGAATAAGGTTGAAATTTGTTTCTAAACGCATTGATCTTTTGTATATATTTTCGATGAACAGGTTTAGCAATATTCTAACTATAGCCATGGTATAACACGCACATATTATCCAATTTCATAATTGCGTCCTTTTCACAACCGATACTTTTCAGCGCATTACTTTAAGTGCAAGTGAAACCTACAAACTGAAGTAGCTCGCAGCCAGCGAAGCAGCACGCTTGGTGTGAGTGGAAAAATGCCCAAAAATGATCAATTCAGAGAGTGATCACAAACTACCTTGAAGAAAGTGAGAGCCCTTCGTTCTGTGATTACTATTTCACTGAAGAGAGCCAGGGAGACTGCCAACAGAGAATCGCACCTCGAGTTCTGATTTGACTCATCCCTAGTGAACCTGCACGTGCGCTGAGAGTCTTTTTGGCCTACCTTCATTTCTCGGGCGCTTGTTTTCTTTGAGTCCTTGTATATTGTTTGGGGCTATAATTTACAGTGTCGTTTCTGTCACACCTACAAGTACCATAATATTTCAACATCACAAGGCAGTATTTTTTTATGGCAAATATTTTTAGAAACTATACGTAAAAATGGTGGCAATACATCGATTATGGCTTCCATGAAACCTTGAACGCAACAACAGTTGGCTAAATACTTTTGAGAATCACACAGTCTTATGTAAGTACTGCCACAAGTGCAGGTAGGTGTCGGATACTTTTTGAAATATTCCGATCACCCTTGAGGGTGTCAAACAGAGAACAGCGCAGAATGTACATGTGACACCTATAGGCGGATGATCAATACTTACTTAGGCACTGCAATACTTACTTAGGTATTGACTACGTTGAGCGCAAAATTTGTAGCTAAAAGAATTGAAGTGAAGCATGCGTGTATGCACACTGGTAATATCCTGCCGAAATGCAGCAGCCCCCTTGCTGTAGCGCTGACAGTCGCAAATATTTAAGCCCGCACCCGTCCAGACAGCTTAGCTGGCAAGATATCGTGCTTTGAGCTTGGAGAGCCGCTCCAGTTTCTTCTCCAAGCAGCAGAAATGCAGCAACAACCATGTAAAATAAATATGTGTTCACGTTAAACAAACTTACACAAACTTAATTTAGGGCCCCCGACAACGGTGTCGCCCATACTGCAGCTTTCTTTTCATACGTAAAGCTCGGGAATTAAGAAAACGCACGAACATATCAAAGGAAGCTGTAAATGAGAGCTGCAATACAAGCGTCACGACGTAAAACATTTCATTACCCTTCTGTCACGTCTGCGAAGCCACACAACCTTGAGCGTCACGCGCTGCAGCGACGACTAGCGATGCGTATGCAACAAACGCGCCCACAGTTTCTTGTCAGCGCTAATAGATGGCGCTTAAGGTTGCGCTAAAGCAACTGCGTTTTTGATTTTGGCGATGCCTTGGAAGGCAAGCAACGCATTGCACCCCCTCTCCGCTATCGCCAACTGGGCCTCCGACGGGAAGTGTCTTCATTGCTGCAATTAGAGACGGCGTCCACACAGATCCGCTTGTCTCTCGTCTCGCAAGGCCGTGTCGAGAGTCAGGGTAGACATAATATCAGGCGCTCGCCGAAGAGGCAGCGCGCGGCAGTACCGATAAGCAAACGCCGTAAGAAAGGAAACATTCCTGCTTAGCTATAATGGAGAATCGACGACCAACGTATAAGCGTCACGATGCCACGGGCTGGGTCTTCCCTCGAGACGGTTTCGACTGGTCAGAGTTTGAAGCTGCCTGCAACTTCAAGCCCCGCTCCAGCGATATACTGCTCATGACGTACCCCAAGTCAGGCACCACGTGGGTTCAATACATGCTCTACCTGCTCGTCCACGACATGAAACCAGTGCCTCCGGGACGCCGACTCGACAGCTTCGCTCCCTTCCTGGAGAAAGGGGGCCTCCAACTGCTTGACTCTTTGGAGCGTTCGCCGAGGCCCATCAAAACGCACCTTTCTTTTGACGTGATGCCCTGGCGCTCCGAGCCCCGTTACGTCTGCGTTCTGCGAAATCCAAAGGACGTGTGCGTGTCCCTCTATCACCATGTACGCGGCTTTGAAAAGTACTATCACTTCACAGACGGCAGCTTCGACGACTTCTTTGAGGCCTTCATAGAAGGAGAAGTGGACTCTGCCGACTATCATGACCACCTGTTATCACTTTGGCGACATCGGGACAAGGAGAACGTGCTTTTGCTCACTTACGAAAACTTGATGGAGCGCACCCTTCAAGAGGTCGGAAAACTCGTAGAACATGTGAGGCCGTGCTTTCCCAGTGACTGGAAGTCTCCAGACATGGGCTCACTCGTTGCCGCAGCAAGCTTCGACGCTATGAAAGCGCAACGCCCCGAGCAGTGGGCCAGTACCAGACCGGAGAACATGCCCGGTTTTATCCGCCGCGGTCGAGTGGGTGACTGGCGCAACTATCTCACTGAAGACCAGAACGAGAGACTGGAGAGCAAGTTCGCACGCAAGATCAATGGATCCGGCGCCGAGCTCCTCTGGCCTAAGGAGATGAAGGGGCCCACGAGCGTGTGATGCGGTTACAGCGGCATGAAAGTGTGTATCCGAACGTATAGTTGTCCAAGCTTGAGAGAACTATGTGCATTTGACATAAGCGCTTTAATGCATTACGCGCCTTGTTCTCCCATTAGAGTTGTTTCTCTTTAGTAACTATTGCGATTATGTGCGGCTTGTGGTGACGGAAGTGTTCTTGCACATAGTTTTCTGAATATAGTAAAAACCCGTGAATTCAAACTCACCTAATTCGAACTTTCCATTATATCAAGCTGATGTCCTGGCTCCAACACAGGTATATGTTCCGGCACAGCCCTATTGGGGAACATTCCGGATAATTCGAACAAACTGGTATTCATTACGCTTAATTCGAACTGGGAGTCACAGGTTTTGATCGTGGCATGCAGAAGTCAGCTCAGAGTTACCACGGTATGTGGTAAAACCAAATCAAACTAAATAAACTAGAGATGCAAAACGATGAACAGCACCATTTCTCAGCAAATGTAATTTCTGACGCTGCGTCAGAGTTTTAGTACAAGCCAAAGATACAAACGACGCTTAGGGTGTCGCGACGGGATAAGCACTAGCTAATAGAAACTATTGATTGTTGTTGTCTAATTAACCCTATTCTGGTCCAAATAAGATACAGGGGATACCCCGATGACTTTTAATTTTGTCTGCGTTATCTCTACCGTAGAAATAAACGTATGCTGTAGTATAAACAGCGTCATATATTGCAAAACTCACTTGAGTGCATGCCGGTGCTTGTTTCTGGCGTATCATTGCCTGATCAAATATTGCTGCTCACTGTGAAACGCTCAATGAACTTAATCAACGAAATCACATGTGATTTTGTTTATTTATTTATTTACAAGTACTGCTGTCCCATGCCTGGGACATTGCAGGAAGAGGCATGGGACAGCAGTACTTGTAAATTAACGTGTAGTAGCGTATAGTTTGCGATATCGAATCTAGAGGTAGCTTATTTGGGTTCTGGCCGTGGAGTTCAGTGCAATGTTAGTACATTTTAGCGAATGCCCCCTAAATCATACTCAGCTTATTTCGAACCATTCTTTAGTGTCCCTTAAGTTTAAATTAACGCACTCTCACTGTATTAGACCCACAGTCGGCTTTCCATCCGGTTTACCACTAAAGTTATTTATGCTCTGAGTGCCTAGCGAATGTACGCGAAGTGTTTGTGAAGTATTACACTGTGTCACAGCTCCCACTTGCCTGCTGTTATACAAAAACCGCATTTTCGCTTCGTATATGCTTCTCAGCACTAGTCATTTCATACATATGTGAAGTAAGACCAAAAGATAACCCACGTGGTATATCTACATCTTAAAAACGCGCGAAGTGTGACAGAAAACAAAGACGGAGGGAATGTGTTGTCGCTCTCTCTCTCTCTCTCTGAACCTGTCATAGTTCGCGCTTGAAGTTTCTGAGATTTATATTTCGATCTTCCAAGATGGCGGAAACTCGGCGTTAGTCATGTTTTGGCTGCATCGTCAAGGTTGGATGTGTTAGCGCACGGTACGTAGAGGGAAAGGGAAGGTGCGGGAAACATGACTTTATGACTTTGCCGCAATGTATACCTAAAGCAGTAGCGTACTTTTGCTTTGTTCTTTGTTGAAAATATACTATTGGGAAAATTCAATTTCATCTAGGACTGCCGGTATTTTTCAATTTATTTTTCTGAGAAACTTCGCCAATGCACGAGTTCGTGCGTTAAAGGGTGCATGGTGATTATCGCCTATCTCGTGAATCGCGAAAACGGGGTAAAACACTGATCGCTGTAGTTTATGTACATACCCCATGATCAGTGTAGCAACGTGTATATATATATATATATATATATATATATTATACACTCACAACGAACAAACCTCTGCTTAACTTACAGCACAAATTTCCCCAATGTAAACAAAATCTTTAAACGACATTACAACATTCTGGAACGAAGTGAACGTCTGAAACACGCATTCCCATCCGCTCCTGGGGTCGTTTACCGACGACCACGCAACCTCAGACACACACTTGTTCACTCTCAAATCAATACCTCACCCCCTAATAATTCAGGCAAACCTTGTTTAAAGTCACGATGTCTTGTATGTAAAGCGATGCGAGAAACAAACACAAGAACCAGCACACAATCGAAGTTTTATATTAACATACGAGGAAACCTAACATGCAATTCCTCTAATGTGGTATACCTACTCGAATGCAACGTGTGCAGTATGCAGTACATCGGACAAACAGAAACATCATTTAGGATTCGCTTCAATAATCACAGAGCCCATGCGAAATAGCCCCAAACCTACCCCTATCAAAGCATCTCAATCTTCCCGACCATGCATTCGACAAACTATCAGTAACGTCTTAGAGACGGGATTTAAATCAAACCGAGAACGTTAACAACGAGAGTCATACCTTATCCACCGATTTAACACCCTCAGGAATAAATGAGAATCTGGGTATACAATTGCAGCAATTAAAGTATTAGAAAACAATAATGGCAATAATGAAAAAATAAATGAGTGCACGGCACTGCATGCAGCTGTGAAAGACACTGGACAACTCAAAATAATTTCTAGTGTAGCCACTCGTCTTAAGTGCAGCTGTCGCCTGTTTCTGGTTTTACCTCACTATCCAATCAATTGTGCCAAAAATCCCCACAGCAACCCTGTGCACAGACGGGAGGCCCCTATTGAACGCGTAATCCAGAAGCGGGCAAGAATTGTCATTGCACCCGCTCGCCCGCCTTTGCGGTAATACGCGGCGCCCCTCTTTCTACGACGAGATGTCGACGGGGCGCTTAGTAGTTAAAGGCTTAAACTTCCTAAGAAGCTCTCTTTCCTCTACACCGAACCGCCAGAGCCAGGAGGTGCCATCTGGTCGGGAACACTGAGTTAGTGAAAGGAAGGATACACAGACCGCAGACATCCTAAAGGTAAAAAGGAGAAAAGGGAGAGCGATATAGGGGATGGAAGAATGAAAGGGGCGCCCGGGCAAGTCCACCTTATATTCTTTTTTTTCTTTTTTTCTTTTTCATTTTTTCTTCTTTTTTTCTTTTCCTTTTCGTGCTCTTTCTCTCTCTCTCCCTCTGATTTAAGATTGTATAAAGCTGACCACCAACTAACTGAACCCTAAATCCTCATGAAGACCAGACTTTACGCCGAAACGTCGAAATAAACCACGTTATGACCGCTCACGGAGGATCTACTTGACTCTTTCCAACGCTACGGCTAGTCAACCACCACGCAACCACCATATATATATATATATATATATATATATATATATATATATATATATATATATATATATATATAACACACCATCGTTGCGGTGACCGCAGCACCGGGCAACGTGGCTTTTAGTCAGTCGCGGTAGCGTCCACGGTGGGAACACGCTTTCTCGTGTAGCTCGCTCGCTCGAACTTACGTCGATGTATCGCACCCTGACATCTTGCTGGCGTCCAGGCCACGCTCAACCGGAGAGAGCACCCAGGACATAGTGTCGAAAGCCCCGACAGCCATCGAAGCCTCCCACGCATGCTCCCTGCACCGTTTTTGTTCTTCTCCTCTTCCAGTCAATTTCCAGCTCCGATTTTGCCCCTATGGTGCATTCGTCATAATTATCACACCTAGCTACAGCAGCGATGACCGACAATTCGTGTTTTCGTCTTTAACTTTTCATTTTAAATGTTTGACCAAACACACCTTTTCACGCGGTTGAATTCCATAATCATTGTCATCAGCATGTCCGCTGAAATTGAATGCGAAACCTAGTGGCACCCGAAAATGCCAGTTTTGTATAATTTGCTGAGAACTTTCAACGCTATCGAGTGAGGATAGTCTAGCTGTGCTATTCGATGAATTAGAGGGTGCTAAATGAGATCTGATAGGACTCAGTGAAGTTAGGAAGACAAGTGAGGCTTATATAGTGATGAAGAACGAAGACGTCCCCTGCTATCATGGATTAGTTGAGAGAAAGGGACTGGGCTGGGGTTTCTCATACACAAGAATTTCCTGGGCAACACAGCAGAATAGTATAGCATCAGTAAGAGGTTGGCGAGTATCATAATTAAGTTTACTTGTTCTCGAATACGTTGTCGTGAGTGAATGAATAAGCACTTCATGGCACCTGTTGCGTATGCTGTTGTTTTCGCCGTCGTTATGATGACTGAATCGCCAAGCACTTCATGGCAGCTTGATGGCACGTCCAACTGAAACACAGAAACAAAAAAAAAGAGAATGATCATCAGAAGCCTAACCAGGAATGAATCTAGTTGAGTATCCTACCCTGAGGGAACTGACACTGCGGCCTGACGTCACGTTTGTGTCAAAAATAGCTGCTCCGTGCGAAAATAATTTCTGTATCTAAATTATCTAATAAGCCATTACTTAGCATCGTACTTGCTCAGAGCACCCTCCTAATATACAAGATTCATATAACGGTGCAGCTTTCAAACTTAGTTGCAGCTATCCTGGTGTTGTGCCATGGTATAAACGTTGCCGAAAGCGTTTCTGGCAGATGCATTGGTGTCTCAAATAACCCAAAAAACATTTAAGCAAGACGCTACCTTTGATACTGACGACTGATGGAAAAGATATAAAAATAGCAGTGCGTGTTCACTCCAAGAAGTGACAACATAATCCGTCTTGTTGAGTCTGCTGGACAGGGTTTACCTGATATGCAGTGCGCAAGTGCGGTAGAGCATTTGTACGGGCCTTTTCCTCAACTACTAACGAAACCGCTCCACTCATTAAGCCTTTTTGATCTAGTTCTCATGTCGCTCATTAATAATGATAACGGTGTGTTGGTCATAAATATTAAAAGTCTAGAAGCATCGTGCTCACCTGGGTGGGATTTGACCTCTCCGGGGCTTCTACTAAACACATCACGCTATTCATCAATTTTTTGGGGAAAATTTTTAAGAGCTTCCTTCTCTGCAGTGATTTAAAGATCAGGAGTACAGTTGTGTTAACAAGTATGATAACAGGCACTCGCTTCGAAATTGCCTCTCTATTTCTAATAATAACTTCCTATGTAAAATAAATACGCATTTTGTTTTCAAATATCGCATTTTTTCTTGAATCGAGTTTCTTTTTTTCATTCTCACAACATGAGTTCCGCAAGACATTCTCGTGTGAAATACAACTTGTATGTTTTCCTAACTATCTTCACGCCGTCTTCGTTCTTCCCTAGTGAACGATTTTTTTCAAAGCCTTTGACTAGAGTGTATCATAAGTTGCCTTTGTATTTGAGAGGCAATATATTTGTATTTCAAACTGCTTGCACTCATTCAATGCTTTTTTTTGTCTCTGCCTATAGTATTGACTCTCTTTCGAGCCCTGTTTCCTGAGGTGCACTAAAAAGGGTATGCTGGGCAATCCCCTCTTTTTTGTTAAATTTGCATTAGTGACTTCCCTTTTTGTGCTTTTGTCCCATATACTATTTTGCTTGCAGACTATACTGTGTAATATGTTGGGAAATAACCAGCCCAAGCGGCTTCACTATTTAACAATCATATCTGGACACTATATCGTTTTGGTGCGCGGAAATAAACTCTAAAAATGCGAAGTCATGCGTGCAACTCAGTGTAACATGTGCTTCCTATATTCTTAAAGTAGATCATAGTAAAAGTAGTAGGATCAGTACAATATTATTGGCATAACTAAATCGTGTAAACTGATCTAAAATGAACATTTTGAAACCGTGATCAATGGCGCAAACAAAACACTCGGTTTCCTTGCAGAAAACCTTTTGCACGTATACTCCACTAGGTATGAATAGTTTTCCGCATACAGCACCAATTCATCAAAGATGGAATACACCACCTCACTTAGGGACTCTTTCCATGATAACCATAATTACTAACTTGAAATGATTCAGAACAACTCGACACCCGTCATTATGTCTAACTATGCGCGAAGCGCGGGTGTTACTAACACGTAGGCGTACCTTTACCTAGCATCATGAGCACCCTGCAGCCGTAATATAACCGTTTGCGCTTTTTACCGCATATTTGAACATCATTCATTACATTATTTGATTTCACTCCCTCAATATTTTTGTTTCCCCGACTTCGTTATGACTGTCATAGCAACATGTTGTAGCCCTCGAACCGCAGCGGGCCAATCAATTGGTGGGAACTTTAAGATTAGTCAACCAATAGAGCCAATGATGGTCACTAAAAACTTCGAGGGGCAGTCGATAAAGTACGGTTGAAACTTGTTCGGTGCCTAAATATTAGGCTTGAGCACGTATCCGCTTTCAGCGTATACGTACGCGATTACTCTTTCCTCTTCTACTTGGCACTGCATAAGCACAGCTTCGAGGCCTATATTGCTGGCATCATTGATCAGCATCTTCGGGGCTTTCTCGTCGAAGTAGGCAAGCACTGGTGTGTATTAAGACGTTTGCGGAGGTCATTAAACGAAGTTTTCTGTTCGTCGTCCCACTAAAAGGTAGCATAGTTTCTTGTGAGGTCAGTTAACGGTGACGCAGTCCGTGCGAAGTATGCGATAAACCATCGTTAAAATGCGCAAAAGCACAGAAAGTACCTGCCTTCATTTTGGACGGTACCGAGAACAGCGCAACGGCCGCAAGTTTTCGGGATCGGCTCGAACGCCTGCCAAACGAAAATGGCACTTCTATTTTTCAGTGCCAGGCCCGCAGACCGTACGGCTTGTACACGTCTTGCATTTTGGCACGTTCGTCAAGAGTTACGGAAAACACTTTGATGTCGGCCCGTGTGCTCAGATTTGGGTCCACGTTAAAGAACCCCAGTTTGTCTAAATTTCCGGACCCCTCCACTACGGCGCCTCTCATAATCATATGGTGGTTTTTATTTTTAGACCTTAAGCCCCACATATAAATCAAAACATTATGATGTCGTTTAGAGAAACTAACCCCGTTTTCTACTTCAACCTAGAAAGTACGGTGTACATGAATCATTGAAAAGTAGCCGGCGCTGAGCGTAAACAGAAGGGCAGGACTTTAAATTCATATACACTATTTGGCGTTATAACAGCGTCTTTTCCCCCTATCTCTTGGGTCTACCTCGATTCGGCAATATCCGCTTCTCAGGTTTTTGAAGAAAAGTAGCAAGCGTGCCGAAGCTTATACAGGGAGTGAGCGGTGCTTAGAAGCGGGTACGCATCTTTCTTAGTCACTTGATTGAACTTCCTGTAGTTCACCCAAATACGTAAGGTGCCGTCTGTCTGTCTCGATAACGAATATAGTCGGACTATCTATCTGACGAGGATGGCACTGCCTACTTTCTTGGCGTTTTAGACACGTGTACCATTTCCCGACCACAACGTGGCGACCCTGAGTGTCTTGATTCAACTAATTATGTTGATGGGCGTTCTCAATGTTCCCCCGAGTTCTTGCAAGGGTATAATAGTCGTTTTGCTTACTCAACGGCGTCCTTTAGAGAAATCAAACTTTTCATCCATCGAAGCTCCCCATATTCTCATTACTCCTGCAGCCCGTCGTACGCAAGTGCTCCTAGCATGTCACAAAGAGGTGAATTCTGGCCACTTAGGCTAGACGTGCACATTGGCAAGAGTTCAGCAGCGATACTACTGGCAACGACTTACAATAGCCGTGACGCACCACATTCGTACTTGTTCGTCACAAGTCACTTCTGATGAAACCAGCCTGCCAGTTGGAACCTGTTCAGGTCCCATGAGTCATTATTGAACCATATTGGAATCAATATTTTTGGTGCACTCCCTGCTTCTACCTCAGCAACAGATTATCTGACCAGGTGTGCCAAAACAAAGACTATATCAAAAGCAGCGTAGCAGTAGAGGTGGTCATGATTTTCATAGAAAATACTGTACTGTTCCACGGTGCCCCGATCATCATGATAACAGACCGCGGTAAAGCATTCACGGCAGCTGTTTTAGACTACGCCCTGATGATAAGCGGAACGATTCGCCGTATTATCACAGCCAAACACCCGCAAACGAATAGGCTAACAGAGCGCATCAACGAGACGGTTTAAGGCATGCTATTGATATAGGGTTAACTACAAAAGTTTTCGGACCACGCAAGAACGTGCCAAACTGCCTGCCCGCGTCACCTAGCGGTGTGCCATCTACCGTAGTTTACAGTGCTAGGCCAGACACGGCTCTCTTTATTCACTGGCTTTTCAGTTTTCTGCTACCACGTACCGGACTGTTCCCAGTTTTCACGCAAAGCGCTTATTTGCAGCATGACCGTCATATTTCTATTTTCATATAAAGATCAACGCTATCCCGTCGTGCCTCGAACGGCGTTCCGTTGGCTGGGTATAACTTTGTGATAAAGATTTCTACTGATAACACTTATGTTCATAAATTGCTCTTGTGGTGGAATCAAGGAGACGCTTATGTCAAAAAGGGCGTTGCGTTAAAAAGATAATGGTGAAAATGATTTTACCCAGTCAGAAAACAGACAGGCCACAGATTACGGGAGGGATGAGCCTCGGGCGCAGCCGTGCTTTCACTTACCGCGGACGGGGCGAAAATGTCGCGAAGAGGCTTTTGGCCACTCACTCGCGTGGTCTGTAAACGTTTATGGGCAATCCTACATGAGCTTGCATTCATTTCTGTAACAATCGAAATTCATACAAAATCGTGTCCTATGTCACGTTCGAATACAATGCAGCTAAACAAGAAGCAACTCGCAAGATTCGATTGAGCCTGGTTCTCGTACAGGAGCGACCGACAATGCTGGATTCGATGTGGTCACATGAATGGGACGCCACTGACGCGGGCGCCGACGTGATCAGCTAGGCAGCTCACACGCTTATCGATCCGCCGGCAACATGACTACTACGCAGGCCGCTACAATGCCCACTGTGGAGCAGCAACCTACAAAATCGTTGACAGAGTGTGAGTTTAGACACCCAAATGAAAAAGTGGACTGTTTCAGAAACTGTTGAGCCCATATTTCAGACAATACTCAGGCCTCTTTAGGTCCAGTGCCCTGATTATATGCATTGCATACTTTAGGAGTTACTAAGAAAATCACGGAGCATTGGTTTTCCGTATTAGACACAGATTTCTGTAACGGCATGCTTTCGCCTACGGCAGACAGACGTCAGGTTGTGTTATGTGAAGGCGCCAGACTTCATAAATCTTCGCTCAAGATCACTTAAGGTTAGAAATGCTGGATGGTACCTTAGTTGAAATACTGGATGTTCTAGCACACCATCCCATGCCCATGGTAAAAGGTAAAAAGAATACGTCCACCAAACACCAAAGAAAAAAACGTTAAAGTATTTTGCTGGTTTCAGTGCAATGCCAGTTATCGTGCCCGCATACTGGTGCCTCCACCACATCACTCATTGTAGACGGGCTGCTATATGTGACCGCAACTGCTCAAGCCTTAGCACGCGTGCTACGTTCGTATAATGTACACTTGTCACATATATTCCAGTAGAAAAACTAAAGAAAAAATGCTCACAGGCATGAAGGACAGATATAAATGAATGTGCTGCACTACTGATAACGTTGTAGGTCATGTTCAGTTTATTATGACCCAAGTGACAAGGCATGCAATGTCAATCAGTTTCTTCATGTGCGAAAGTCAGCTGGGCGTTCTCCTTCACTTTTTAAACTAATTCATCCAGTCTAGGAAGCTGCTTATTTCCTTTAATTTGCTCCAATTGTGAGATTTTGCAAATTACCACACGCTTTCTTTTACAAAAACGAAACATTTTTCTTCTTTCGAGGCAGTGGTCAGTGAGGAGGCTTGGGAGCGTTGCTCATCAATACCTCGCGAACATTGCGTTAGTGGTGTAATCTCTGCATACAAACCGGAGCAATTTATCTCAGCTTCCATGAGGGATGTATGCTGAATTGCGGAGATTTGAAGGCGCAGTTGAACTGAAAAGAATATCTGAAGATCGTGCAACTATTGCATCCCACAATACCTACGCTAGAAAAGTATAGATTGCACTGCTGTTGCACCGCCACACAATACTCCGCAATATTTAGTCATTATTCATGAGTTTTGCAAACAACTAAGGCGCTATGCTTTTTCATGCTTGGGAGAAAACTATAGACATGAAAGGCGAAACCAGCACGCTGACGCATCCTTATCTCTGCGTACTTGTAGATATCTGACGCATGCCTTTGCTATATCTTGCTTACAGTGCTATCGTTACCGAGAATAATGGGTGAAGAAAAGTCAGCGTGACAGCCATATCGATTCCAAACAACGTGCAAAGTACGTGAGAGACAGCTGACCGTATCTTTCCAGCGTCAAACAGATTAGTACCACGGTCAAGGAGGCCACAGATATCTGCACTTGCGAAAAGTGCAGCACAGGCGCTACGCGTGGATCTCTTCAGCGTCCAAGGTATTCTACTAATTTTTGCCCTTCATTTTTGTTGCCCTTAATGGAAACTTCATTACGCAAATCGCACGAAGCTCCGCGAAAAATTGTTGCCACAAAAATTACTCGTTGGTTTTTTCGGCTTTCATGTTTTCTTTAATGTGCAATCGCGCTTGCACAGTTTGTGAATTAGTGTTTAAGCAAACAGCGTTTTTACGCATAGAGAATCTGCCAACGATCAAATACAGCCAAAAAATTCAGCAAAGAACTTTACACAAGGTTAATACCGGCGATGAAGAAATACAAAGTTTAGCATAATAGCTCGACGTCAATGACTACCATTACATAGGTTTGTTTTTGTTTCTGCTCTTCTATATTCAGGCCTACCATACCTTCATATTGTTTAATACGTTGCAGCTTAGCGGCCTATCTCGGAGACTAATGATTTACGAGGCATGGTGCGATATCAGAGAACTTGCTTTCGAGGTTTGTTAGTAGAGGTTATAAAAGTTCTAGTAATCAGAACGTCACTTTTTCTCTTCTTACCCACCTTATGAACAAGCCTAAATGAAAATAATAAGAATATTAATAATACTTTCTGTCCTCTTCATTAATTAATAAAATTAATAAAATATTATTATAAAATATTAACAATAATAAAAGTTTATCCAATCCAATCCTCTCCATTATCACAATTGAACAGGCCTGTCAAAGCTCAAATGTGGCCTGGATGACGAGCCCGGCCCAACAGCTCATCGGCAAACGAGGAAAAACAGTTACGTATGTGAAAAAGCTTGTCACGTATAACTACCTAAGGAACAAAAAATATGTAGCTAAATTATCGTATAATCAAACACAATAGCATAAAAGAAATAGGTTAGCAGTAGCAAAGCAATTGAGGGCAGAATACGAAAATGGGGATACAGCGCATTGAACACGGTTATAGCAGTAAGAAATAAACTAAAAAAAAACATGACCCCTTGACTTTAGGAGTCAGTACATTGACTTCAGTACAATGACTTTAGGAATCAGTACAACGCAAAAGTGAAACGCGTCTTCACAGAGGCAATTGAGCGTTTACTGTGCCTTATTGCGCCGCTAAGGCGAAGGAATAAATACTACAGCAACAAATTACAATGTCACGCGAAGAACGCTAAGCAGTTCGAAACTTGCAGCGCGCACCTCAAGCAGAAAGCGTTCTCGAAATGATTCACACTGGACGAGCGCACACAGACATTGATTGATTGATATGTGGGGATTCAGCGTCCCAAACCACCAAATGATTAACAGAGACGCCGTAGTGGAGGTCTCCGGTAATTTTTGCCACCTAGGGTTTTTTAACGTGCACTCAAATCTGAGCACACGGGCGTAGGCCCGTGTGATCAGCATTTTCGCCTCCACCGAAATTGCAGCCGCCGAAGCCGGGATTCAATCCCGCGACCTGCGGGACACAAAAACACCTGCCACAGCTTGGTGTTTAAAGCACGCTGCTTAAATAGAAGGAAATACGCATGAAACGAACCCACAAGTGCACAAGGCCAGTGCGAACAACTGTCACTATATATTCTTACTGCGCTTGTGCACTGCGTGCACCTTTAGAGCGCGCGCGCACAACGCGCGACCCTCACGCCATCTCTATGCAGATGACGATAACGCGTTGAACTTGCCAAGCTCTGAGGACCGCCAACGGTACATGGTGCAAATACTTGCCGTAAAAAGCCCGGAAACGTGCGTGTTATGGTATAGCGGCTTCCGTCGCGCGTTGAGGAGTGAATTGTCATTGGTTCGGCGCACCGCTAACGGAAATTTATTCTCGTTTTCGTTTCTGTACAGTGTATGCAGTTTACGTTATATCTGTTGCAAAAACATTTCAGTGGAGCTGTGGTGGAACCCGGCATTAAACATTTTCGGGTTAAAACAATTCAGCAGATCCCACATAATAGAGTGACTAGAGATGTTATGAAGCATGTACGGAAGACGACTGTGTTGTAATTGTTTTATTTTACGTTACGAAATTACGCCGGAGATATGTACAAGTGTTGTACGCGCAGACATATGTTGCATATTCACAAAGCTTTATTACACGTGGTTGTTTACAAGTGCGTAGCGATGCCAAACGCAGCACGCGTATCAGCACCGCCATAAGTGGTAAGCTGATAAGTCGCGATTGTGCTCGCGAGGATGACAGCCTTAAGCACTGCTACATACTTCAGCTCGAGTGGATGGCGTTTCACTACACTTGACGTTAACTTGACGTGACGGCTGTATTATAGCGGTACATACGTAATGTTTACGAAATTGAATAGCCAGGTTTGCAACCACAAGTGATATTTCACCCACGTTACGCCTGCACAAGGTCTTTATACAAAGCTGTTTCAAGAAGTGGTGTGACTGGGAGGTAGAATACTTCATAGCCACGCAGAATTCTTTGACTCAATTCCTGCGGTGACACTCATATTTGTTCTTCACATTCGTGGGCTCATCGCTGACGATGTCAGATTTTTAATGCTATCGCGTGAAAAGTAACAAAGTCTGTTTTGGCAGTTTTTGGGCCGATTTAAATCTGTTTTTTTTTTCTTTATTGCGAGATAAACTTGCCCTTAAGGAATAAATTTTGTGCGCGTATTTGTATTATATGTGCACCGTTTGTGTGTTAATTGTGTGCCGTGTGTATATTTTAACGCGATACCGTTAGGTAGCTAGTGTCGCAGAAAACCCGCCGCTGGCGTGGGCTCAGTTGGTTATGAACGAAAAATTGCCCGTGACCAAAAAAGCAAGTTAGCGAAATAGCCGTAGGAGGCCGCTACTTGTCCACGCGTGCGCGCGTGATCACATTGAAAGAGCCACGAGTTCGAAGAAAAGGAGGTGCTTAAGGTCACGAGGCACGGTAGTTTCTTTGCCCTGCCACCCCTCCCTGCTTAGCTTCCAGCGCTTTCGTCGGGACTGAGAGAAGAGATACTGCATTTGCAGCATGCGACAAACCTTTGTAACTCCACTCGCACTAGATGGATTCTTGATATTTTGCAGCTGTTGAATTCGTGAGGCAATAAGCTCTTCTAGTGAATTTATTCGATTACTACTTGAAAAAGTGTTTGAGGGCCTCTATAACGCATTTTGTTCGACAGGTGTCATCGACGAAAACGAGTCCATTCGGCAATGATGGCGCGCGCTGGTGCCAATCTACTGTGTGTGTGTTTGTGTGCGTGCGTGTGTATGTAACAAAACATATTAATAAGTATTCACTTAGCGGTTGAAGGGTGCATTAGGGGCCTGAATTTCGCTATCGCGTACAGCCCTTAAAGGCGAAGCTTAAGGGTCCCCCAATTTTGTGCGCTTATGTGTAACAAATGTGTGCCGTATGTGCGTATGCGTGAGTATTTTTTGCATGTATGTGCGCCGTTCATGTAATAAATGTCCTCCGCATGTGTGTTAAATGCGTGCTGTCAAGCACCTGTGATTAGATAGAGTGATATTAGCTAAACTACGTTACCCTCCCTTAGTTGTTTTGCATAGCCCAAAGTTGGAGGAGGGGGGAATGAGAGCTCCCGGGCCTAGGTGGCTAGACAGACAGACAGACAGATAGATAGATAGATAGATAGATAGATAGATAGATAGATAGATAGATAGATAGATAGATACTTGACATTTCAAGTAATTGTACAATAAATGATGCAGCATCGAAGTGATCTTAGGATGTTTTGTGAAATGCGTTTTTTCATAGCAGAAAAAGAATTATTAGGGAGATCATTACAATAACATAGACATAAATTTAAAAAATTTGGCATATCGTGCCTTGATGATTTTTGCAGGAAAGCAGGTTTATTTTGTATTCGCAATTTGTAAGAACTGTCGCGCCACCTAGAGATACTCAAGAGCGCACTCTTGAGGATGATCAGTAGGCAGACGCTCCCTCGTTTTACTTCGCTAGTTTTAGTGTTAATGCATTTGCAAGAAACGAACACAAACCACTTTGTTTGTTCGTGCATTATAATATACAGGATCGTTTATGAAGTAATAAATTTGATTTGTTCTTGCGAGACGCGAAGTTTTTGTGAAGATACGTGACAACTCGTGCGTTCAATCTTAGCCCGCAGAGCTACACTCATCACTTTCGCGTGATTTTCTGTAGCCATGTTGGATAGTTAAATGTTATCGTCTGACCTTTGTAGTTGAAACTCACCATGGTCTGCGTATATCATTGATCAGTGCTTTTGTAGTGCATGAATATCATAACATTCATTCTACGCGGAAAGTAGCGCAGGCTGGCAATTCGATATTTCCAACTTTGGCCCATGCTGCGCCGCCCGAATTTTACTTTCATTGATAGATAGCAGCACACTGCAGGCGATTCGCTTTTTGCTGGGTGGCGCCTTTACAATCCCTCCCAACTACAGCCGGTGACTGCAGCGCCATGGCGAGTCGCGGCGCGAACTACTACGAGCGCAGTAGAGCTAGGTGCTTTTCTGGCAACCGCGCACAGCCTAGCACCAAAATGCTGGAAAATCTCTGGTCGCTTTGGTACCCAGCAGTGCACGGACATCGACTATATTTGCGCTGACTGTTTTGTTAGTTTTGTGTGTGGTGCAGTCAGCGCTTCCTCTATTTTGGTGCTGTGCAGTGGTTAGTATGATCACCACATTCACGGCGAATATGGTGACGCGTAAGCGCTAGCTGTTTCGTGCAAGCGGTAGCGTTGAATGACCAACAACTTGCGTCAATGTGATTATGCACGAGTGGTGGTTGTTGTGAGTGAATGTGTTGCGGCGGTTTGTAAGTTTGTAGGATTGCAGTGTATTATGAATTGATGATACGTAAGTGCTGGCTGATTTGTGCAGACGTTAGTTCTGAATGAGATGGTGCGCAATGACGTGCTTTACTGATCGCTGTCACATGGGTACTTGCTGTATGTGGTCACCTATAGGTGCGATAAGGGCTGATCGCGATGATTTCGCGATTGGACTGGCGGCTGCATCATACTTGATCCGGATTTGTTTGGACCGCGTAGCGGTAATATCGGTTTTGCT